ATTCGGCTGGAGCTTTTTTCCTTTCAAATGTATTGCAATATATGTTTTTAAAAGAACTAGTCCTAGAAACTACACTCATTTAGGTAACAGCAGTGTTTCTGCTAGACTTGCTCCAATATTACCATATCTCTCTTTGCATTGGCTTCCTCAAAACAGGGTACAGTACTGCAGATGCAGTGTCACAATTGCCAAATAGGATCATAGAATGGTTTGGGTTGGATTTTTTACTAGATCCAGCTGCTCAAAGCCCTGTCCAACTGAGCTTGAACACTTCCAGGATGGGGTATTCACAGCTTCTCTGGGAAAGCTCTTCTAGTGTCTCACCACCTTCATCACAAAAAAGGCTTCCTTTGCCTGAGCTCCTCATCAGGTTCCCCTTACAGGCTTGCTGGGTGGAAGGAGCTCCTGGCCTCCAGTAGATCCTGTATCTCCCCAGCAGGCCCTGCTTTCACAGAGGGTCTCATATTAACAGCTCTTTGGTCATTAAATGCAGCCCATAATGGCTACTGATTGAAGCCTGGTTCAATCTGAGAACCTAGTCAAATTCATCACTCACCCTCTGTAAAGCACAGAACTATCAACTCATCAGTTCAAGCAAGGTCTTGTGCAAAAGTAACATTTCAGTCTTACTCTTGTGCTGACAACCTCCTGAGACTTATCTGCTACCACCTGGGTGACTCCTGGCAGCAGCAGGAAAGCAGACAGTACCAGCCACAGCCAGCTGAATAACCAGCTCCACAAGTGTACCATGTCCCACCTCCATCACACACAGTTATATCTGGCTTTGTCTGAAAACTTCCAGAGTTGGTTCAAAAAGAAACAAACAAACAAACAAACAAAAAACATCAAATCCCCCCTTACCTTTAAGAGCTGCACAGTGCTTCTTAATTGCAGGAGGAGTAAGATGCAAAAAATTTGGGATCTGAAATAGACATATTAAAGAGTTACCAAAATAAAAGCTTTTTGTCTGATCAAAAGTAAATCGCCTTTACTGAAATCTGACTACACTTCTCACATTTGCTAAGGCAGTATAACATGCTTAAGGAAATATTCATTTAAGCAGACTCTTCTCAAGTCTGATTTAGCAAAAAACTTAACTCTGTGACAAAGTCACAGGCATGATAATCATAAAAAGTCTCCTGATATCATTCACTTGTTAATTAACTATACATTTGTCACCACTTAAAAATTCAAGAGGATCATGTGACTTAATAGCAGAAAGCAGTCTCCAAGAGAAATATTCCAATCAAAGCAGTACAGCCTTAGTGAACAGTGACTTTAAAAGTGACCCCCAGCCGTAGCACATGCTTTACCTTGATGAGTTCTAGGTTGCCTTCTTTTGGTGGAGGTACTCCTCTCTTCACTGGGTAACCCATTCGGATTGGGAGAGGCACAGAGGCAGGTTTGAAGGCAGCTGCTGTTGGGTACACACTGCTCCAGTCCTGATCCACAGCCATCCTCTCTGTCCTGGGGGGTGCAGCCTGATCAAGGGAAAGGGAGACAGGTGGGATGGGAGATACACGAGATATAGGACAAGGCAGGATCAACACATCACATAATGATTTCAAGAACCAATTCCCACAGCTGGACATTTCAAGACACCTTTACTGCCAAAGTTAGAACTGATTTGTAGAGGAATTTTTAGCAGAGAGCCTCTCCCATCTTAGCTGCCAGGCCTTTCCCAGTCTTTTGCATTTGATGGCACAGATGCTTAGGAAGAGGAATTTGCCATCTTCCTGCCTTGGGACAAATGAGGAGGGGGAATCGAACCAGTACAGAATTGCAAACTCTATTTCCTAAAGGGCCTGAATATGTGGTGGGGGACAAGACGAGTTTTAAAATTCTGGAATTCTGTAGGTGTGGAACAGTTCATAATTAATAATGCTGAAATTTCTTGCCACAGAAATTCCAGTGTAGGGACAACATATGAGTACATCGTAGAAATAGCTTATACCCTCCAAAAACTGAGCATCATTTCAGTCAAATGCTCTTAGAAAAAGAAAAGCTTTATGCCAGAAAGCAAGCACTAAAAATCCTGTAAACTCAGTCTGAAAACAACATTGTCATGTCTGAGTTATTGGAAATAGAAGTTTAAGTTACTTTTCAGACCTGTACTACATGGTGTCAGTGCAAGTTAACTATCAGCTTAGTGTTGTATTTTTAATTTTTGATAACGTAGACTGAAAAGGTTACAGAAGGCAGGTGCTGGCCTGGAATGGTCCCAGGGGATTGTTTCACCAGGATTTGACTGCAGAAGGGGCTGCTGGGCAAACTGACACAACACACAGCTTAGAAAGCTTTGCAAACACCTAAGCTACCTGTAAATTTCAGTACTTACTGATCTTGCAAACTGTGGTGTCCAGCCTCTTCTCCTTACTGAACCTGAAAGAAGAAAAAACAAAAGACATTAACAAAAACATATTTTTAAAATAAATTAACCTATAGTTTTGGGAGCAAAAAATGTAGCATGATTCTGTATAGGAAGGGGCAGATCAGATACTCAAAACTAAAGATTACCAATTAATTTTGTAAAAAAGTAAGATAAAAAAGAACTTGGAGGACAAAAATGAAGGACACTTTTGCCTTCATTCCTATGCTCCCTTTCCTCTTTCCCAAACAGCAGCCACAAATCACTTTCCACCAGCAGCAAAGATGGATGAACTCAAGAGTTCCTATTTCCAAAAGGAGAGTGCCATGGCTCCATCCTTTCCTTCTGACAGCACAGCTTAAACTAGCCCCTGCATGAACAGTTCAGGTATTGGATTGTTTCTATTCTAGAACTGGGGATGGTGAACACCTTGATCCTGCTCACTGGGCAGTTCCAGAGAAAGTGGAATGGGAAGTGAAAGAGTTTAATCCATTTCAGGTCTGTGCTTCTCCTGGCTCTACTTTATAGCTCACTGATTTCATCTGGAGCTGTGGTGTGGGATCCCTAGGGATGCATTAAGTCACCAAATACCACTGCTGGATTTTCAAACTAAACATTGATCTTTGCATACCTGTCTGTTTTCATTTCCTCCTCCTCCTCAAACCCTAAAACACTTCCAAATCCCACTGTCCAAAAACCACACCAGAATATAATGTGACCTCAGACATACAAAGGTGAACCTGATGATATTTATTTTCAAGAGTCTGGTTTGAATTCATCGATTGTACATATTTAGCATAAAGCAAAGATTTAAAAAGGGATGTTTAGGTTCTTTTTTATATCATTCAATCTTACAACCCTACCCCATAAAAACTTGTGGATTTCACATGTTATTTGTTTCCCTTATCTGAGAACTTTATGTCTCTTCATCCTTTTTTTGCTATAAAAATCTTAAAACTGAACGTTCACGGCGCTCCAACAGATATTATTCAGCATTCCTTTATCTCTCGACCTACCTTTTTCGTGGTGCTTTCACATACAGCCACACGTCACAACAATGTTACTATTTCTGTTACAAACACCTGTAATTTCAGGTCAGGACAGGTCACCTTTCGCTACTACAGCGTCACCGGACATCGCTCAGAGGCACTTTGAGCGACCTGGCGTGCTCCGTATGCCCATCGGGAAAACCCAGATTCACTGCTCCCTATGGCATCGGCCAGGCACGACACTAAAGGCTTCCCAGGAGTACACTCAGCGATGCAATTCCCCTTGGGAACAAACTGACACAGGCACCACTCCGCTGCAGCCCCGCCGTGCCGGGCACCCCGCGCTCACCTTCCCGAGCCTGCGGCCCTTCCCTGCCGCTCACCGCGGCCGCAGACGAAAAAGCGGCGCGTCCCCAGAGAGGTGGGGCCGGGGTCCCGCTGGCCCGGGACAGCAGAGCCCGGGACAGCAGAGCCCGGGACAGCAGAGCCCGGGACAGCAGAGCCCCGCCGCTCAGCCCGGCCCGGCAGCACGGCCCGGCCCGCGCCGCCATCGCGGCCTCCCCGCGCTCCTCCCGCGGCCCCGCCCGGCGCGACGGCGGCCGGCTCGGCCCGGCCCCGCACGGAGCGCCTGCTCTGTCCTGAGCGCTGCTGTGGGGCCTGAGCTTGGAATATCCCGGGTTGGAAACGTGTCCTGGCCCTGCACAGACACCCCGACAGTCTCCTCTGTGCATCCCTGACAGCGCTGTCCAGACGCTCCCTGTTATGTGTAGTAGATATAATTTGCACCATTTCTAATATGATATATGTGATATTGAATATTTGTTAGAGTATACATGTTTGTATTAGGATTCCCCCCCACAGGCGCAGGTGAGACTGGGTGTAGATTGGAAACTGATTTACAAGTAAGAAGGTACTCGGCGTTCCCGTAAATTTCATCAAAGGATTCAACAAACTCCAGACAGTGATTTGTTCTCCCTCATCACCAAAAAAGAAAATCTTATTAACATATGGACTCTAAATAAAAGAAAAGACTGATTGCAAAAATCCTGGCCTCAGGTGGAATTTTCCCTATAAAACTCACTTGTGCCAGGATGGAGGTGTGTGGGCATAGAGGAAAACCTCTGCTGAGGCTGACTCCTTGTTGCACACCCAGGGTCGACCCCGGGCTCGGCACTGTTCTTTCCTTGTGGCTGGCTAGATAAAATTTGATTGCAAAATAAATAATTTATTTTTTATATTAATTTGGCTGGACAAATTTTCATTTATACCAGAGGGGAACAGAGTTTGGCTGCTCATGTGCTTATCAAGGAATATGTTATTATCATGGAAAATGTGTCATCCAAAGGTGACTGTCCTTCCAGAGCTGGGCGATGCCAGTCGTGTCTGGTACCATTATCGATGACCATGGCTGAGGGTGCCGAGTGCCCCACTGGGCAGCCAGCAGATGACACCGATTTGTGCCAGTGCTGTTGATCTGCAGGAGGGTAGGAAGGCTCTGCAGAGGGACAGGCTGCATGGGATGAGGTTCAGCAAGGCCCAGTGCTGGGTCCTGCACTTGGGCCACAGCAATTCTCAGCTTGTAGAGCTCTGTTACAAAATCGGGGGCAGAGGTTCTTGGTTGACTGTTGGTGACAGTTGCTTCTGGCAGTCCTTCAGTTGTTGCTTAGGTCACCCATAGACCTGCAGAACCTTTGGGCTGGTCCTGCTGTGAAGGGTCAGCCTTGCTGCTGCCTGGGTGGAAGGCCCCTGACCAAGGTAAGGACATTCCCCATCTCCCTGGATTTTCTCCAGAGCACAGAGATGCACAGCAGCTGACTGCAGCCATATGTATTGACAGTGCTGACAAGACAAGCTGAGGCTCCACTGCTGGAACTCTAAAAGCTGCCCCATCCCTCTCTCAACCTGTCATCTCATCTGTCTGAAGAAACTGACCTCCTCCCCTCAGTATTTTGCTTCTGCTTCAAAGCTCAAGGTCAAGTCAAGGGTACAGGGACCCTCTTGGTCTGCTTTTCTGACACTTCCATGGACAGCAGGAAGTACAGCTCATTTCTGGGATCAGTGAGGCACGTTCTGCTCATTCAGTTTGCAGTTCGCCTGAACTGGTGACATGGCACCTCAGTCTCCAGCTGCGAACGGGACACTCATCTTTCTGTAGACAGAAATGCCTGTCTGAAATAGTCAGGCCATTCCTAAAAACCTGCATGAAACCTAATGTTCTCTGCCATACCACATAGTGTCACTATCTATTTCTGACCCTTTTCTCTGAAATCTACCGCTCTAAGGAGTATGGAGACTACTTAAAAATTATCTTTTATTGATTACTTTGGGCTTTTCACACAGAATTGTTCAACAGAACCTTTTCTCTCCTTTCTGTCTGCAGCCTGAGCAAAAGATGTAGCCGAGTTTTCTCACAGCATGGATAACAGCAGTGGTCCTGTTCTCTTTACCTTGCTCCTGCTGCAGAATATGAGCAGCCCCAAAGCCTCCGCCCCTCCTGCTGGCTATGACATGGCAGAACCTCCAGCCCCGGGAGCCGGCCCCAGCAGGAACCACTCTCTGCTAGAATATCGGCTGAGGCCTGGGGAAATCGCAGCTGCCAGCGTGGTCTGGGGAGTGCTGTGGCTGATCTCTGTCTTGGGAAACTTCCTCGTTTGCTTAGTGATTCACAGGAGCAGGAGGACGCAGTCCACCACCAACTACTTTGTGGTGTCCATGGCCTGTGCTGACCTCGTGAGCAGTGTGGGGAGTGCGCCCTTCCTGCTGCTGCAGCTGAGCTCCGGGCGGTGGATGCTGGGCAGCGGGGTGTGCCGGCTGGTCAGGTACATCCAGTACCTCACACCTGGGGTCCAGATCTACATGCTCCTTGCCATCAGTGTGGATCGATTCTACACTCTCATACATCCCTTGAATTTAAGGGCTTCCAAGGAAAAAGCCAAGAGAATGACTCTGGTCTCTTGGCTCTGTGGTGCTCTGTTTGCATCACCGGCCTATTTTCTCTATGGCTCCAGAAGTGACCACCACTGCAACTTTTTCCTCCCCAGTTCTTGGCTAGGAGCCGCCTCTGGTGTCATCCACCTCTCAGTGCTGTTGCTTTTGATCCCATCACTCCTTATTATCCTCTGCTACCAGAAGCTCTTCACCTGCATTTGGAGAAGTGACACTGAGGACACAGGTGGAAGGAGGACAATGAATCTTGTCTCAAGAAGAAAAATGAAAACTGTCAAGATATTCTTCATCTTTGTCTTGGATTTTCTTCTGTCCTGGCTTGCTTTCTTTGTGGTACAGTTGTGGCACCCACAGGAAACAGACTACAGAAAGAGCTCCTTGCTTTTCCTGGCCATCACCTGGATCTCTTTCAGTTCCTCAGCCTCTAAGCCAACCCTCTTCTACATCTATAATGCAAACTTCAGAAGAGGGATGCAAGAAATTTGTTGCATGTGGAAATACCCCAGAAGCAACATCTACACCATTACCACCAGTTCCAGGACAGCTGAAAATAATCACATTATCCCAGCACCAGCCCAGCCTCACAAAGACTCCACCTGTGATGCTTTTAAGAGTTTTTAGAGAAGTCAAGGAGCATGAGCTTGCCAGGCCTGGTGAATCCAATCCCACAAATACATTTGCCAAGAGGGTTTCATTACTTTGAAAAGGAATGGATGAGCTGTGGGGGTGCTATGTTACTCCAGAAGAAGGAGGATCTTTTACTCTTTTGAAGCAATAAATAGGTACATATTTTATACCAGCTCCTAGGGTAGAAAAAGAATAAATGGTCTGTATTATTTAACGGCTTGGGTTTGATGCATTTGTTCTATTTTATTTCAGTTTTTACGTTCTGCTTCGGGGAACTCCTTTCCTGGAATCTACAAGAGTCCTTACACTCTCCGTCTTTAGGGAGAAAAGGGAAAGAAAGAAATACTGCTTGTTACAATCCCTGTAAGGGATGGGCCATAGTGTATAAATGCCTAAATCCACCCAAAGCCAGCTAGGCTTCCTTCCAGTATGTCCCTGGGCATATTCCTGCACTGGGCTTGTCCATCTTTCTCAGGCCCCATTGGTCTGGTGGCCAGGGTGGTGTTGAGTTAATGGCTTGACTGGATGATCTGAGGGGTGTCGCTATAGGACACGAGAATGCACAACGCGAGCCACTTGTCACTTTGCAAGGTAAAAGAGAAAGTTTCTTTTCTGACTCCAACTTTTATACTTTTCCAAAGGTGACAGTGGATTGGAGAGTGAATGGGCCACCTCTCCAAAGACATTGGACAAACCACTAGTACATCAAGTCTCTCCACCCCCACGAAGGAATGCAAAACAACACGTTATTTACATAAACTGTGTGGGAAAGTTTCCCAATAGAATGTAAACTCAGAAGGCTTTAGAAAACTCAAGAATCAGGGCGACAGAGGGGTCTTTTCCAACCTAAACAATTCTAGGACTCTCCCTCCTTCCAGTTTTCCTGTGCCTCCATTTCTCTTTGGGAATAACCTCTTCCTGGAAAAGTTACAGCAGATTGTTTCATCAGGGTTTGACTGCAGAAGGGGTTCCTGGACAAATTTCCAACTCACATCTTAGGACTCCTCTTCCACACAGGCCCAAATGGATGAGCTCAGGCTCTGCCATCCTGAGGCCTGTTCCAGTGTGTGACTGTGGAACCACAGAGCCATTATTCCATTGCATGGAGTCTTGGAATATCCTGGCTTGGAAGGAAGCCCTGGCCCTGCACAGAGACCCCAAAAATCCCACCCTGTGCCTGAGAGTGTTGTCCAAACGCCCCTGGAGCACTGGCAGCCTTGGGGCCGTGGCCAGTTCCTGGGGAGCCTTTCCCTGATATCCAACCTAAGCCTCCCCTGACCCAGCTCCAGCCATTGCCTCGGGTCCTGTCCCTGGTCCCAGAGAGTGGATCTGCCCCTCTGCTGTCCCTTGGGAGGAAGCTGCAGATCCCACTGAGGGCTCCCCTTGGTCTCCTCCAAGTCAGTTTTCTCCCCTCACAACTGAAAATACAACTTCTCAGTCACTGCATGCTGTTTGTCTCCCCAAAACAGGCCCAGGCTCTTTCAAAAACCTCTGTAAAACAAACTCAGTAGATTTTTTCAGGCAAACACAAATGGATTCATCCCTGGGAACATTTTCCCCATGGAAACAAGATGGTGACACTGTCATGTGTAAATCTGGACTAGGTAGTGCTGCTTTTCTTAAATTTCAGCTTTTTCTCCTGTGCCTCAGGACATGTTTGTGCAGATGTTAATTAGTTTTTTTGGCAGCAATATGCTTGTGCCCCTGGCTGTGCCCAGGAGTTCTGGTTTTAATCTGTTTGTTTCTTATTCCAACAGGGCTGTAATATTTTCATTACTAATACAGTATCTCACAATGACTTCATCCTCTTTAGCATAATTATTGGTCAGAATGCATTATGAATGATGGACAGTGAGTAATTACTACTGCTAATTAAAGTATAAACTTTGCAATTACTGATTTCCACAAGATTTTTGGTAATTCTACAGATTTTGAGGAATGGAATGTCTGTCCTTTGTTAACAGCTGATGGAAAAATGACAAGGAAATAGATGATGGATATTTTGTAGCAGTGTCTGATAAATGTTCAAAGCTAAGATTAATTATTTAAATTATGTAAATCTTTGTATTCTCAAAGTTAAGTCTGAAATGAACATGTCCAGAGATCAAAGACAGCGAGGCATCTGAGTGAGCATTTGGGCTTGAGCATCCAAAAAAAGTTGAATCTGTCCTGAACCTGAAAGTTGAGGATTTTATATCCTGAACTAAAAATTGAATTGTTAGCAGTAGTAAGGTGCATGAACACACCTCTAGAGCGTATACATGCTGCAGACATGGGATATAAAATGACACTGAATATTATATAGTGCATTCATAAGTATCTCTTATAAATAATAATTGCTTTTCCAATTAAAAAGGAGTGAATATTTGCATCCTCATTTTCAGCATATGTGTCAGACGTACCCAATTGCCCTCATGATGAGGAGTCATTGTCAAGGCCGAGAGAAACGTGTATTTCCACACCCCTCTGCTCCTATACATACTCAGGACAGACACTTTGCAAGTCAGTTTGTGCACCTGAATGCCAGATGGAGACGGGTGTTAGTGCTTAGGGTTGGAGAACTCTTTGGTTTACAGTGGTACTTAATATAGTTAGTACATTTTACAAATAGTAAACAATGCCTTAAGCCAGTATTACTGAACTTCTGAAGTCCTGCTGTATATTTTCATTAGAACATTCTTACTTAGAAACCACTCAGAATTTTATCTTATTTTCCACATTAGGGTAACATAAGAAGAGACCTTTTGTTGTTGAAAGCATGTAATGCCAGTCCCAGAACAAGATCAGCTGCAGGTGTTATATGTTAGCTTGGAGTTCCTGTTTCATGACTTCAGTGTGGGTCACTTGCACATCTTGGGTTGCAGTATCAAAAATTATTGATTTATTTTAAAATCCTCTCCAAATTTTCCTGGTTTTCTTAGAAAGAAGCCAGTAAGTCACAATTATTGTTTACAAGTCAGCTTTCAGTAGAGTGATCTATGTTCAGCACACTGCTGCTTTTGGTAGATTTTACTCCTGATGAACATCAAAAGAACACCCTCCAGCTTTGGGAGGGTGCTTTTAAAGAAACATTTATGGGATGTTCTAGTTGCTAGAACACATAGCTCTCAAGCTCATTCACTTTTTCCACAATCTTTACTTCCAAGGCAGCTTCTTTTCTACAACAAATTTTAAACAGATCTTATCACAGATACCTTTATTTAGATTTCCTGGATTCTGCCAAGCTAAAGACAGTCCCAGATTTCCAAAAACTGAAATGCCTCAGATTCCAAGTGTCTTTGCTGAACTCATCATATCTAGCTGATTGTGTTAATTCTGGGAAGAATGTAGGATCTGCTTCTCTGCTGGAAATGTCCTGGCTGACATTCTGGGCACCCAGAGTGGTGGGGTGGTACTCACCAGGGAGCTCCCCGTCCTTCTTTGTGTAAGACAGCTAAGTCAGCTTGGCTTATTGGGATTGCTTGGAATGCAGTGGCAAAACCCTTGGCCAGCCTTTGTGCTTGTGCTCTTTAAATCTCTGCAGAACACACTAAGCCTGACTTCCTGGCCATGCTGCATGTGTGCACTGCATGCTATATGCTCTGGAATCAGTGAGGGGTTTAGAACTGCCAGAGAAAGCAATAGACAGCTCTCTCAAAAAAATTACAGGAGATAGAAGTAAGAAATAAGAAAATGTGCTCCACTTTGGGCATGAGGTGAATAATTTCAGAAGAGTTACTGCCTGAGGCTCCAGCTTAGCTGAGAAGGAAGGTAAAGTGGACCTGGTACATTAAGAATTTCAAGTTCAGTTTACTGCTCTTTAATATCAGCTTGGTAATCAATTGAAGGTTATATAAAGGAGCCCACAGCTCACAAAAAAGAAGCTTTGTGGAAACTTTAGATAAAATTAATAAAATGTCATAGATGACTGTTTTAAACTCTTATATGTAAATGTAAAAATGCCCAACTGCACTTACTCTGAAGGGCTCATTGTCATTTTTTCAAACTGCCTCTTCAGTTATAACACACAGCTCCTATGTAAAGAGTCTCTCCTGAAGCAATAGTTCTATTTTGATCAATCTTTTCAGATATATTTGAAATAAGCACCCACTTTTCGTGGTATTCTGTTACAACCCTAGAGCCAATACCAGTATTCTTTTCCTCCAGTGCATCACTAATGATTTAAACAAACCCAATCAAACAATGCTGGGACACTTAATATAATTGAAGAAAGGAATCAAGTAACAGCTGAGGTTAACTATGCAAGGATTTATATTGTCTCTTGTTATTTGAAGGTTCTCTGTGGCTCCTATCTGGTTACCTCTTCATCAGTGACCATAGGAAACCTATTTCATGAAGTAATTTTGTCTTCCTTTAATGCAACATAAGCATAACAACAAATACTTTGCTCTACATGGTAGCAGTTTATTTTAGTTCATCTGCTTTATTAATATCTGGATATTGAAAATGCTGTGGCTTTATATAAAGCTATGCTATGATTTATAATGAAAGAATTCTGCTGGCCTAGTGAAGAGCACTTAAACTGCAGACCAAGATTGTCCAGGTGGAATAACATGAGAACATGAAATTTGGGTGCATCATTATTAAAATTACTCTCATTGAGTGCATTGTAATTATTGTTTGATATCCCATAGTGCCTCAAATGGCAAACAGGATCAGGACCCTGTGATGCTGGCATTTGTCCAGTAGAAATTAGCACTCTTGAAACTTTGCTGAACTATGGTGCAAAAGTCATGGAATCAAACCCTTTCCCAGCAGCAGAGGAAAACACACTTCTTTGTCAGCTCTTTCACCTGGTTCTTCAGCTTTCATCTTCCCCCCTCCTTGTTGTGAGACACAACCTAAAATAGCAACGATACCAAGTTAAGAGACTGAGGCGCAAAGTATGTATATTCTTCATGGACCTGAACTACTGTTGCAAGAGGGAGGAAAGGAGAGAAATAGCAGTATTCACTTTCTCCTTTCTGATTAGAAAGGTCAACAATAAAATGGGGAGTTGGATGCTGGAATGGTTATGTTTGGGATTCTCTTCCTCCCAAATAAATACAAAAAATGACCTGGAGCTCACAAGGGCAACAACATGAGAAAACCCTGATTTTCCAGTACTTGATGTAACAATGAAGCACTGCTTTTGGCTTTGTCAAAACTTTGATAGAAAAAACTCTGAGCAACTGAAGCTGCTGTTTAGACTTTCCCAGTATGAAAAGAAGATGTAGAGCCTCCAGCTTGCCACAGGCATCACCTAATTCAGTGTTTAAAGATGTGCAGTAAAGAAAGGCTGCTTTTAATGCATTGCAATGAAGTGTCTGCAGATAAGAAAAGGACTGGGAGGGAAGTTAAGCTGTTGCTTGTGATTGCTGGTTTTGACAGCAGGAAGAAACAGAAGTAACTTCTCTCTGAAATCATCCAAGCTGTCCCCGATTCTTTCTGTGCCATATAAGGCAGCCCAAAGGGAGGGTCCCTGCGTTGCTCAGGGTGGGACTTGGGGAGCTGTGAGAAGAGGAGGGCAGCAGCTCCTCTCTGCGCATCTCCGGGGACTCAGCAGCCGCCAGGAGAGGGGTACGCCTGGAGAAAGTAGGTGCTGTTTGCCAGCTGCTCTCAGCTTTTTCCGTGCCGTGCCTGTGGGATGCCGTGTGTGGATGGAGCAGCCCAGGAAAGGTGTTCCAGGCAGCTCTGCTTGCAGCTCTGCACAGCCAGCCTTGTCCGGGCAGCCTCAGCACCCCGGAGTGAACGGATGTTCTTAGAGATGCTTCTCAGGGAGCTGCTGCGGGCTGGCTGGGATGAAGGGCTTTGTGCTTTAATGTTTGCACCCTCCAGCTGTTCATTAGGAGAACTGCTGAGGGAAGTGATGTATTTATCTCTTTGCACTAGGACTGATGTGGAAATGTGAACTGATGCTCACCTTTCCATGAGCAGCGTTAAGAAATGAGCCCTGTGTAGGAAAGTCATGTTAAAATGTATAGATGTAAATACTTTGTGGAATAACTTGGAGGGCTCTGTTCAGATGTACTGCACTGGCAGTTCATTCAATACACATGAGAAGCTTTAAGCAACAGCAAAAAATAGGCTTAGTTTTAAAAAGGGGGCTGTGTGTGAAGGCTGAAATTGTCTCTATTCTACTGAGGCTAAAGTAACTCTGAATGTGGGGTGTAAGAAAAAGGCAGTTCAAAGAAAGACATCCGCTCTCAGTCTTACAAAATTATTAATATTGCTGCTAAGAAATTGCTGCTCTGTATTGGCAGCAATTTAATTCTGCTTCATGAAATACTTATTGATTTAGAAGAACCCTATTGTCTTTTCTATTTTGTCTAGGTACTTGTTTAAAAATAGCAAAATTAGTTGCAAACATGAAAGGGCTTGAAGAAAATTGAGGATCAGGCCAGGAGTCTTTGATCTTTCCCCTTGTAGCAATATTAACCTCCCAGTATCAGTTATCATTAGTGGCATCCTCCTCTTTACACTTGAGAAAAGTTGTTCCAGAGTACTGTGGGCTGCAAGATCGGATCCTGTGAGGTGACTGAAATGATTTATATAAGTCTTAAATTCTTCCTGTAATATCGATGCTCTAGATAAGTTCTCCTGAGGTGTAGGTGTTGAAGTTGATAGGCTCATTCAGTTGTGTTTTGGGCAACACTTCATTTCTAATCAGGGCACTTCAAGAACTGCTCAGTTTAAAGTAATCTGGCAGGATCAGCTCTCTCTGCTGCTGCACAAGTGTTGCACTGTTTAAATAGTTCTATGCTTTCTTCTTAACAGTGTAGTTTTGAAATTAATTTTCTTTCCTTCCTCCAGAAGCCTTAACCTCTTTTACAGACTCCTATTCCTTCTGTTGTTACTGTCTCATAGGTTTTTCTGACTTAATTTCAGAGGATGTGAGTGACAGCAGGTGACAGGCTGGCAGCTCGCACTGGTGTCACAGAGAAGTTCCATGATAACAGCACAAAGTCATCTTACCAGCTGCTGGAGAACCTTGGACATGGAAGACATACAATCCCTACTTCATGGTTTTAAATATTGATCAGAGACAGCAATACCTGGGTGTTGCTGCAGGATGTCCTGTGGTGATGCAGAAACTGCTGCGTACCCAGTGTGTAACCACCGTGGGCAGGATCAAGGCTCCACTCTCCAACTGAGCACTCTGAGTGGAAGTAGCAAGTCTGCAGCGTTGTTGGAAGTCAGGAGGAGCCTCAACACCATGCAGTATTCTCCTGTGGCAGTAAATCCCTCCATGGATAAGGGACCTGGGATTCCCCAGAGCCCTGGGGAAGGCAAAAAGGCTGCAGCCTGCTCAGACAGTGGAGCTGGCAGGACCCGGAGCACGGAGTGCTTCCAGAGCCAATATCTGACCAAAACCAGCACCCAGGGACAGGTTTACAACTTCCTGGAGAGGCCCAGTGGGTGGAAGTGTTTCATCTATCATTTTGCTGTGTAAGTACTGACATTTTCACATGATCTTTGGTGTAAGAAAAATCTGAAACTGCCCATTTAATCAGCCAGGAATCAGTACTTGGTCTCTTGTGCTCAAAACCTGTTCCATGAGTAATCTTCTCAAGGTAGTGGAAAAGACAGCTCCTCAAAGAATCAGCCACTATATGCATTATCATTTCCAGAGAAGGCTTTTTTTTTCTTCAAATGATCTTTGTTTTCAAGGATGTACATGTATATTTGGTATTTCTGAGGGCAGGTCCTCTGTGCTCTTGGCAGTTCTGATTGCTGCTTTACACTGTTCCAGCTTCAGACACTGCAGTTTTTACCAGGAGATGTGGCAAGTCCAGCTGTGATCAGACACATTCTGCTCTTTTAAGTTTGTTTTGCTCATGTTAAAAAGCCAAAACAAGTAATTTGTTAGACAAACATATAACATTACTAATTTGAATTGATTTATAGTCGTGAACATGAAATGAGTACAAACTTAGCTAAATGTTTTCATTATACAGTGTATGTAGTACATGGAAGGAGGCAATTAAGGCTTCCATTTACCCTTGTAAAGCTGTGGTTGATATATTAATACAGCTGTTACTGTTTTCTTTGGTTGCTTATGGTATCTGTCAAACTTAGCAAAACCTCAATTACTGTTCTGACTGCTGCTTGACAGAAGATAATTTGTCATCTTAGCTGTAGAAAGGGTCCAGTTGTGCTCTCACTGAGAGCAGAGCAAGTTTTACTGACCAGCTGGGCCAAAAGGCCTTGCTTTTATTATAAATTAGCATATTTTCTAAAGAAATGCAGAGTGTTGAAATTACTCTGTTTGTCTGAGATCAACTATGGCCTGACTGCATTTTGGGAAAAAGGCCATTATGCAGTCAGGAACTGCCTAGGGAAATATATGGTAATTCTAGGGATGCACCCTAATGCTTCTATTTAGAATAAAATAGATAGTCGCATTAATACTTGCTTCCTTTCCCCCCTCAACATCATATACATATTTTTGAAAGGATTTTTTGCGTAATGATATTTCTCCAAGCAAAAAGATAAAGCCTCTTCCAAGGACTATACTTATATCATACTTTATTCCTAAGGACTAAAAAGATGTGATTTGTATCGATTTAAATATATGAATGTCATGATTTAAGCTTATTTGAGACTACTAATCTTGCTAAAATTAATTCATCATCTGTGTTGCTTTTATCCCCAGCTGAGGCTGACCTTTAATATGCACTTTTTTATTCTGAAATGGGCATTAAAATAAAATAAAAAAAAATCTATACACCCACTCAGTACTAGAAAATTGGAGAAAATACTGGTAATATCAACGGCAACTGTTTTCTTAAGGATTCCTACCATTTACATGAAAGAATATGTAAATTGAGTGCTCTTAAAAGTTATTTGTCTTTGAGCCTGCTAGAAAGGAAACATTTGAAATAGTTTTTGGCAAGCATTTTGTCTCAAGGATGTTTTTTCTAATAATTATCCCAGTAACTACATGATGTGTTCATTTAAATAACAATTTTCTATTTTGGAAAGAATATACCTTATACAATTATCTATCATTACAGCAAAACATTGTTAAAAAATAAACTACTAATCTAAAATACACTTAATTTTACAATTAAAACAACCTGTAATTTCTTTTTAAACAGCTTCCCTCATTTTATGTGTGGGTTTGGAGGTAACTTAAGTACAGCTGATTGATGCTGATGATTATGACTATTTTCCTAACAAATCCAAACTTTCGAGTACATGGCTGATATTTGTGTAGCCTGGAGGAGCTGGATGTGCTCTGTCCCTTCTGTCCTTCATGTACTATAAAAATCACACAACTCATGTACAAACTTGGGGAACTTCCTGTCCGAGAGGGACTGGAGTCTATTCTGATCTGGCATCAGTTCCACTAGAAAGAACCTGACTTTCCAAAACCAGGTAAGGTGAAAGAACAGCAAGTGCTCCAGGAGGTGACTTCTTCTCATTCTGAAATTACCAAGATAATCACTGATAACACTTGTAGAAAATTTCTTTTACAGGAATAAGCTCAAGGTTCTTATGAAACTTATTAAAAGTGATAGAAAAGGGAATTATTTTTGCCTAATTAAATCTAGAATTTGTATTATTTTTGTGGAGTTATTGGAGTTTTAGTGGAGGTTGAAATTATGGTTTCAAAACAAAATGTTTGAAGGGGCGAGTGGGTTTACTTGAGAATCCCTCCTGCAGGTCTTGAAAACCTTCTCATTTGGATACTTTTCTGGTTTAGGACTGTGAAATTATTCACTTCCGAAAAACCCAGTAGAGTAGAGGATCTCACTTAGCAAGAGCTGAGGGCTTGAGAAGCAGCTGCTCCATGAACTGACAATGTATTGATCCAAACCAAGCAATTCCTGTGGCTATGTAAGAGCCTTGGGGTGTTGGAGATCACCTATGTTAGAGCCCACCTGTTTCCTGGGAGGTCCTCAGTCCAGAAAAGTCAGCATGTGCCTGGCTTGGATTAATTTCTAAACTCAGCTATGCACTTGCTTAAATCACATCAAAATGTCAGGTATTAGGGTTTAACCCTCATATTTTATCTCTTGAAAGAAAAATACAACATGTATTGGTGATAGTTACTTATAGCAGTGACCTTACTTGGCAAACCTACACATTTGAATCATTTAATTGCAGGTGGAGTCTTACTTATGTCATGGATATATTTCTGAAGCCTACATCTATTTAGTGACTACTGGAATGGCTCCACTGTAGGCTGGAATGTCGTGTCCACCTGGCTAGCTGTCACTTGTCACTGTGCTGTGGGCCACAGAGGCCACTTGTGTCAGCCCGAGGTGATGTCGCAGTGCAGGTTCCAGGCAGGAAACCCATGATCTATAGTATCAGTTACACCCTGCTCACTGCAGTCCAACCCCCTTTTCATATCTTTTCCATTTCTCTGGAGCATGCAGGGACTGCTAACTTTGGTCTTTTGTGCTGCTTTTGCCTGGGTAGATGTAGTTTTCAGTTAAAAAGCCAGAGATTTAGAGATAACCTGGGTTCCTTTGGACTAAGAAGTGAGGGAGCAGGACACTGAGTGTGGTGAAAGAGGGAGAGAGGAGCACCTGGGACTGAGATGCTGAAGTCCACGTTGGTTTGTGGTGGAAGTGGAGACTGGTGCCAGTGATGCTGAAACTGGAGGAAAACAATACAAGAGCAGAGTAGCTCAAGAGCAAAGAGAATCTAATTTAAGTGGGAGGCACAAAGAAAAGGAAAAACAGGTTGTAGAGATCAGAAAGCTGGATACAGGCACAAAGGGGACAGCTGAAAATGGTCAAGAAGCTCAGAGAGCCACTGGGAGGAAGAGGGGTAGGACATGACAGCTGGGAACTAGGGAAAGCAGGAGCATGGAATTCATGATGGGACAAGGAACCTTTCACCCATAGGCAAATAATTTGAATCTTGTCCAAGTCAATAGTTCAACAGAAGAAGAAGCAGTGATAGTGACGGCTCTGGGGAGATACAAAAGGACAAAAGGAGCTGTTGGTCCCAGTCCAGTTCTTAGCAAATGGATGTCACATCACCCCTGAAGTCAGCATAGCTGGAAAGGCTGCTGTCAGGCACTGGAGAAATCACAGGCTGGCTGGGAGTGGAGGCAAGTCCAAGGCAAGAGGGAGGTACAGGACAGGGTCTCTTAACTGTATTCTCAGACCTGCCATTTTCATGCTGTGCAACACTGCAAAAGCTTAAGTGAGAACTTGCAACTATTCCAGGTCACTTTGTGCTGGTTTGGCCACTTTGTTAAATGAGTGTTAGACCTTGCTCTCATTTGAAAGTTAGACCAGCCTTTGTATCCTATAAACTCCTTTGGAATGAGGTGTGCTGATCTAACAGCTCATTGCTAACAAGCCAGCACCAGTTCTGCTCCCTTCATCCACCTCCAGCACTCAGCTTGCTCCTGCCAGCTGTAGTTGTCCTTTGATAGTTAAACTTGGAGTTACACTTGGATAGCCAGTTCATCTTCTGACACCAGCAGAAGCCTACCCCAGTGGGAAAGAGTGGATGGTCTTCAGTGTGGTTAGTACTGCACATGAAGCACCTTGAAACACTGCCCCACTCTTATTTTCTCAGTGGATCAAAATCACTTGTTGAATTTCATATAAAATTGTGTACAATAATTGCAAAGTAACATTGCAAATCATCTGGCAAGTACTGCAGACCACCTGGTTTGACTGCAAAGCATTTCATAAAGGTAGAGTTTGGGTAGCCATAAAGTCTGCTCTGCAGGCTGCCTTGAGATTTCTGGGGAAACAGCTCCTCCAAATGGTTCCTTAAAGGGGGTAATGGCTGTTGCTCCAAAATATTCCTGTGGGATGCTGCCTGTCTCTGGGAATTGTGCAGACAGGGAAAATATCTTCCCTAGAGTATGGTTTCCCAAGAGCTGGCATGGTGGTTTACCAATGCCAAAAGGTCTTGGTGCCCCTCTGTCACCTTCCCTCCTTCTCTTCTGGACACACATTTCTGCTGCACAACTCGTATTGCTTCTGGCACTCACTGAAACCGTCCTACGCTTCATCAGCTCCCTGTAATGGCAGGAATCTAGATCAGCAGGAAATGAGGAGCTTTTGGGACCTTAAGGAGTTGCAGCATGTCAGCAAGTGGTCTGATGGGGCTGCAACCAGTGCTAACACAGTTGGCCAAGACTGGAACGGAATGAGGCAAAGTTCTTTTTCTTTTTTTTCTTTTTTTTTTTTTTTTTTTTTTTTTTTCCCACTAGAGATCTCTGGTGTGGGCTCAGTTTTATATGAAAACATGCCCTAGATTTACTTTGTTACCCCTCTCCTCCTCCAGACTGACTCCCACAGCTCCTTCAAAGAGAAACACATGGGCACGCACACACACAAGCACACACACACACATACCTGTTTCTGGCAGCTTGTTAAAAAAAACTCAACTGGACAGTTACTGCTGAATAATTAAAAGTGCATGATCCTTACAAAAATGTGAACAACATCAATAACATGGATTTAAAA